TGATAGCACTTCCGGATATAAAAATAAATAAAGCAGACCCAGGGATGGGTCTGCAGACCTGTCTGTCCCAGTCTGGGACTAGCCTCTGTACGCCATAGTAGTGGCTCTACTCTGGTTTTCGACAAAATTGATGTTCCTTTCCAATTTCCTGAGTTATCGCAGTATCTTTAGTCATTTAACTAGCCTCAGTGAATTTTCCAGAGACAGACATAGGCAGGGACTCATGAAAACTTAGTGGTGAACTACCATGTAAGGAAATGGCCAAGAGCTGTGCTCAGGTCTGGTTTTATTATGAGCATTAGTGCAACAGTGTGACTGTTTTTATTTCTACATTCTAAGGAAGATGAATAGTAAAATTACATTCCAACTATTCGTGCTAAAGTGATCAGCCAGCTATAAATAGTGAACGGTAAAACTAAATATACCCAAAGCTGCTTGAAGTCTCCACTTTCCAAATGCTGGGAAACTGACAGACTGGGACATGTGGAACTTGTTGTATTCCTTTGCACGCAATTGTAACAGCAAACAGTTAATGGACATGTCATGGAGTTTCAATCATCTGTTTGCACTGTTAACATCTAAGGAAGTGGACACTTTGGATAACTTCACTCAACTGAAGCTGCTTGAAACCCTGCTCTTAAATCAGCAAGTACTTAATGGAGCTACACAAAATAGCAAACATGCTTAATATGTTTTAAGCAGGACCTTTGTAATTGATGCTTTTGGTAACAACAGATGGTTGGTAATACAAATTTATTGCTCATCATTTTGCTGTTAATTGTTTATTGTGTCTTCTTCACAGTTTACAGCCTAAGCCACAGGCTGATTATATTTGTTACACTTTTCTGAAGTCCTAGAAATCACATGACAACTTAGAAAGTCAAACACGTGACAGAAGTATCTATTTGATTGATTTTATTTTCATGTGTACTGAAATACAGTGAAAAGCTTTGTTATCGAACAATACAGGGGTTAACATTACTCCGAGGTACCTGAGGTTCTTCACCCTCTCAACCTGAGTTCCGTTGATGTAGATGAGGGCATATGCTCCTCCTTTCTTTCTGAAGTCAATGATCAATTTGTTAGTTTTGCCAATGTTGAGAGACAAATTGTTTTCATTGTGCCACGTCACCAAGCCCTCTATCTCCCTTCTGTATTTTGACTTGTCGTTGTTAGATATCAGTCCCATTATGGTGGTGTCATCAGTGAACTTGTAGATGGCGTTCATTCATCATTTGGCAGAAAAGTCGTAGGTGTACAGGGATTACAGTAGGGGGTTGAAGACACATCCTTGGTGGGCTCCAGTGTTGAGTGTTATTGTGGAGGAGATGCAGTTACCTGTCCTCACTGGTTGCGGCCTATGGGTCAGAAAGCTGAGGATCCGAATGCAGAGGGTGGAGCCGAGACCAAGGTGTGATCAGTCTGGAGGGGATAATAGTGTTGAAGGTGGAGCTGTAGTCAACGAGCAGGAGTCTGATGTAGGTGTCTAGATGTTCCGGGGATGAGTACAGGGCGAGGGATATGGCATCCTCTGTAGATCTTTTGATGACTGATCTGCTACAATTGCATGTATGTTAATCAGATAACAACATATTCCAGGTTGTACCGAGTGGGAATTCACAAAAATAGCTTCTGACACTGAACCAAGGAAATATCTGAGATAAAGTTTCATCAATATTACAGCTCCCTTTACATTCTAAGACCAGATGGGGATTTTTGCAGAGTTGTGGAGATTCTAGCGGTCAGGACCCAGAAACAGGAATTCTCACTGTCTTTACTGACAGGTCCTATTTGTCCTGGCAGGGAGGAATGTGACTCCCATGTCTGAGAAACTCAAATCCAGCATGGCCCTTTGAACTCAATGCTGAGTTCAAAGAGACCCCAGTTTTGCTGGAACAGGGCCTTAACCCACAGGTGGGAATTATGAATCTTTAAATAAGTCACAAATGCTTGTGAAGGAGATCTTGTGACATAATGTTACCATGCCCGCCTCTGAGACTGAAGCTTCAGGTTCAAATCCCACTCCAGCACTTGATATTCAATGAGGGGACATTCTTGAATCAGCCAAACTAACAAAAATGAGGAGTACCAATTTATAGATATTTCCGACATATACTGATTGCAAATAGTAAAAGCAGAGGAGATTCTTGGTCAAACATGTGATGGAAAGAAATTGGAGCCTGTATCATCATTATCCATAGCTTCATGCTATAGCATGAATGTGAAAATGTATGGTGAGACAGCACCTTAGATTCTTTGGGGGAAGGGTGGGGGTGCAGTTGGCTTAGCTAGCTGGACAGTCAGAGTGATTCAGTTAGGTGCCAAGGACCAAACAACAACATTTGATCCTCATTCTGGTAAGGTGGATTCAGGTCCTGATTTCTTGCCCTGCCATGGTGAAGGTTGTGACACTGTTGGACCTGCTTTAAGGCATAGCACTTAGGAAGAAATGTATGCAAAGGATGGATAAGGTCTATAGAAGTATCATGTTATTTAGGTGACCAGCCCTTTAGAAATTTAAAATTTTCCTGCCTGTGTCTGAGAGAGTTGAAGAAACTCAAGCTGTTATTAAATAGCTAGATCTTGAATAACTGGGGAAAAAACTGCTTGCATGTGTCTGAAGATTGAAAAAAATCAGCATGAGCAGTTTCAATAGCTATTTGTTGAAATAATCCTAAGTGTTACATTTATTCATATCTGGATGGCTGGTTTGTAATGCAGAGTGATGCCAACACCACAGGTTCAATTTCCACACCAGCTGAAGTCACCATGAAGGTCATTCCTTCTCAACTTAACCCCTTACCTGTGATGTGGTGATTCTTAGGTTAAACCACCACCAGTCATCTCTCTCTACGGAGGGAGAACAGCCCTATGTTTCTTTGGCTATGGCAACTTTACTATTCATGATTGGTTGTTTTCCACAACATATCATTATCATTGTGGGCCTTTATAAGTTCAAAGATTGACTGATTGTTCAATAATGTTATTAAATGATTAGCCATGTTTGATGAGCGTTTTGAATATAAATATGTGCTTTTATAAGGGAATAAGCCCTCATGTTGGGATTTAAATCTATTGAATGAACATTTTTGAATGGGATTTTATGTAACAAATTTTGCAAATGAGATTTAGAACTTTATTTCATTTCATCCAAGCCAGCTCCTGAGGTCTGCCCCTGGTGGACACTGGATGAGTTGTCTTGGCAAGTATATGGACCATGGGTGGTGAGTGTGAGGCATCAGTTGACACTAAGATGGTATAAAGACTGTAAGGGGTTATGACAGTGGGTGGGATGAGTGTCATGCATTGGCACTAGGTTGATATAGAGACAATAAGGTGTGATGGGACAAGTTGGCAAGGAAGGTATGAGTAACTGTTGGGAATGAGTAGCAGAGCCTGGGTTGTCTTAGATGGGGAGTGGGTAGGGGATGTGAGGTTTGAAGCTAGATGGAAAAATGTTTAAGGAAACAAGTGGTGTCAGGTCCCAGAAAATTGAGGCACGCCTTTTAAACTGCCTGGCCAGGGTCATGGTAATCTCTGTGATCACCTTCAATATGCACCTGGTGATAAAGGACCAAACTCCATTCTGTAACTGCTGCCTCAAAACTTATCATTTGCTGCCAACCTACCCAAACTCCTCCCCCCAACCCAGGTGAATGTCAAGAATTTTCCTGTCTTGTGTTACCTGCCTTGAGAGAAAAAGTCAAGGCCCAGATAATCAATTTTCTCAGTTACTTTCTAAGTAAATCAACTAGAAATTTGGTCACATTTGAATGTAAATTATTCTTTCATTGATTTATTTCGATGATTCCATTGAGAATCACGGCTGGTATTGGTGAGATGTACTGATGTAACACAATTAAGACTAACTTTCATCTTTTCCACTGTTGGGCCTGTGGGCATAATCAGTTGGTGATTCAGAAGAATTGTCACAAACCATGGTGCTGTGTTCCTCCTGTCACTCCAAAGAGCAAAAGACGACTTGTATGCCTGTTGTTCTTCCCTGTTACTTTAATTTCCATTAACAGAAATAGTGCTCATTGCAAACACACAAAACAAAACAATATTCAGAAAGTTGGAGACGAAATAAACTATGTAAAATACATCCGCATAATTATATATTGTATACAAGAAAATGTGCTTCCTGGACCCAAGACCCCAGAAATTTAGGCAAACAAATATTAATATGTATTGGCTGTCCTTCAAATAGAATTTGTTTGGATGCTGGGTAAATTTTATTACACAAACAGTGCATATTCAAAAATCTCCCATTTGATGGTGTGATAAAGAAATTTATTGTTGTTCTTCTAGGGTCTAGTTCGAAGTAAACAGAATCCATGTAGATACTGTTTTGCAAATTATTTTAGGCATGATTCTAATTACAGAAAAGTAGCAATTTTGACCTTGCCAAGATATTATCTCTGAATTGAAACATTCACTGAAGTGAATTACTCTCCCTGTTAACTGTAGCAAATTTATGACATGCCAAGTTTAATTAAATACCCCTTTTTAGAAGATATTATATTATTTGAATTGGACAAAGTCATGTTTGTAGTTATTGGGTGTTTTATAGCTTTACTTTGCTTAACTTGGTTTCTTTACAAAAATTATTCTCAAAAAGCATTTTAGGTCATGAATTTAACAAAATAACAGTTGTAAGGTAATTTTAACCTTTTAAATTTGTATTCTATTTTTATTAACAATAATAAAAATTAACACCTAACAATGGACTCTGCCAGGTTAATACATTTGGCAGTTGCCTAAATCAGCTATCCTATTTTGACACAGAGACCAGAAATCAATCAGCCTTTTAGCTGCATCTTCCTTAGCGAACTAACATTACCAAGCACATCTCTACTTGATTTTCATTTCTGACTTACTTCTGTCTTAGATCTATCCTACAACCTATCAGGCTCTGTGCTTTGAGTGAAAGTTGGCAAAATTATTGTTAACTTGTATTACAAAACCTTAAGAAAATACTTATGGAATTCTTTCCACAGGTTTTGATATTGTCCCGGAAGCTCAAGGTACATTTGGAGAAACATTGCGTAATGAGTTAGAAGACAATGGACTCTTCCAGGTCAATGCCATTGACCGTTTTGTAAGTCAGCTGTCCTCTATCTACACAGAGACCTGAAATCAGTCTTATTCTTCTGTGTTTTCCTGACTGGATTAAAAACTGCTTGGCACATCTTTGCTTGAGTTACTTACAAAGACTGAATATTAAACAATTATACTGAATTATTCAATGTATCTTATTACATTCCAACATCCATAGATTATTTACTAACTCCATTGCTCAGCATCCAAAATGAAATGATAGGTAGATATTGTGTGTATAAGCACATCACTGTGCATGTCTATTATACCATGCTCATAAGTGTTACCCCTGTGCATATCAGATAAATCAGCACAGTGAATTTAAGCCTCATCAACAGCAAACTTTTTTCAGTTCATCAGCAAGTAGTTGGAGCCAACCGATCATTTTTGACATATCATCTAAGAACCATATTAAAATTGTTAATTTTATCCCATGTTCAAAATTGAAATAAAGAAAAGGAACAAAAAATGCATTTTTACATGTTTTGTACTAATGAGTGGAGAAATTGTAACAACATTAAGAATACTAAAACAATTAAATGAGAAAAATGATTTAGTCTAATAACGTAATTTATCCACTAAGAATACTAGCCCCACCCATTCAAGGAACAGTTTATGCAAAAACTTTCCATCCTCAACTATCAGGAGGGAAAACTCCAAATGTGTCCTCATCCTCACATCTCCACTATTCCATTTTGGCTTGAGACCAACACCTGTAGTATTGCAGCACCATGATTCAACCTTGTTTGCAACTGAAATTGGAACATTCCATTTTTTAAAAAATTATACCTTTCTTTTACTTAAGCGTAAGTTACAATACTTAAAATCAGAAAATGTTGGAAATGCACAGCAGGTCAAATGTAATCTCAAAACTAATTTACTTCTTAATGTGTGCAGCCATAATTCCAATTGCTTCTTCCATTACTGTCTCTTAAAGACACTGTTAACGACCATCTTTTTAGTTATACCTCATCACCACACCTTCGGCTTTTTTCCAATTTTTCTCTGTGAAGTGCTTTGGGTGTTTTACTAGATCAAAGGTGCTATATAACTCAATTTTTTTTTTAAATCAAGTGACCAACTTGCTGTGCAATGACTGGGAGCTACACAATTGGTAGCTCCCTGCCTCTGAGCTGGAAGGCATTGAATTCATGTCCCATGCCAGTATTTGTTGGCTGCAAAGGAAACTAGCCATTGGTGCAGGCAAGCCAGTGTGTTTCGATGTTGGCCCCCAGCCTGGATAAACAGGGAGGGTGGCAGAAAGAACATTCAGCTGTATATCCACCCACTAAATCCAAAGAAAAAGGTCGATATAAAGGTCATTAACCAGCATTGTGTTGAACCTACATAACCTGAGAAAAACCAGAAGATGGAACACTGGCTTGCTCAGCATTTCTAGGACCTTCTGCCTCATTTCCATCATTTGCAGTGTTTTGGTAACTGAATACTATGAAATATACTGTTGCTGTGCACTTTTGATACTCATGCTTCAGGCATCCAGATGTGCAAAAAAGCACCCTATTTTGTAACTGTTGTTCATAACTTGTTTTTCTTGCTAAGGACAATGTAAAATATCATGGGTATAGGTTTGTAAAGAATGTGTTACTTGCTAATTTTAAATCCAACTATCCCCAGTCTCTTAAAGCTAGCAGATCCTTTTTTGTACAAAACTGTTTGCGTCAACATAATGTACATAATGTAAGGAGTTTTGAGTATTCATGGCATTTTACATTTTTATATATTTTTGTTGAAAGAACAATTAAAAGCACATTAATGGAATTACATTTGTTGTCATCTATGCCTAAAAGACATGCTGAGCTGTTGTTTTAGACCTCACAGCAGTCCAACATATGTTTGCAAATATTGCCGAAAATACATTTTACAAACATATTTTATACCGAACCATATGTGCAAAATACCCTTCATCGGTATTATTTGTGGGCTGAGGTTTCAGTGATCCAACTTGCAGCATGCCCAAGGGACCACACATGGATTTAGTCGACTCTATTATTATACCCCAACCATTTATACACAAAATAATGTGTTCTACTCCTCAGTTATTTCCGATTAATGCTAGTTGCATTCATTTTTTGTGATTGATCTGTCAGTATAGGTATGGTTTACTAAAATTGCTACTCAATGCTTTTTCTTTTCTTTTCGTATTATGTGTGGTTAATTTCGAGTGTAGACGCTTTGAGACCAACTTACGCACTAACACTCACCCCCAAGTCCTGTCTCACCTGCTGCAGGCCGTGGAGTGGGGGATGGGATGCCACCCGCCGACGTCAGCGCTCGAGGGGCAACCGTCTCCTTGCTTAGCGCGCGGGCGCCGTGTTCGAAAGTTTTTTTTATATGTATTCCGCCCATCCAGAAACAGTTTGTGAAAATGTTATACAGTTGTTTAGTTTTTTTTTCAAGGCGATTCAATTTATCCTTTTAAAAAAAAATGGTCTGGGCATGGTGAATTTGACAACTTGGCCGGTGGACCAAGTTTAAGACACAATCAAAAGGGCACACCTTTTCTATATCAGCTGTATCTACCTCTGCTGTGGGTATACGTATTAGGCTTTGAAAAGTCTACAAGATTCTCAGAATGACAAGACCACCCTCTTCTTCTGGGAAAATTAAATTTCCTTCCCTACTAGATCATTCCTGCATCAACTCTGCCGGCTGAGCGTAGGGACTTGCAAGATTTTGACTCCTGACTCGCTCCAAACTACCTGTGGAGAGCCAAATGTTGGCGCTTAACAACCAAGGGCGAAAACTTGACTTTTACTGGCACAGAAAAAAGTCTTTCAATCTCTATAGCCAGGCGAAGCGGGTCTCAACGTATGCAGCAGAAGTGATGTCCTCAAGCAGGTTAAGCAGCCAATTGCATTAAAGAATTCCCATGATTAAAAACTTTTGAATCCCTTCACTTCGTTTTGTTTTTAGATTTTGCAGATACTGAAATAAACGAACGGGGATATACACATAGGATTTAAGGTAGAAGTTAAAAATATTCTAAGCAAACTTCAGAAAAAAAAATGTGGAATGCCCAAGGCAACTCGCCTGGTTTCCTAACAAGAAAAACATAAAGTTCAGTATTATTATATGACTCCTCAATGGCCAATGAAGCTTTTTAGCAATAATTATGAAGTTTTTTATCCTCTTGAAAGACATGTTAGACCTCATTTAACAAGATGCTCAAGTTCAAAATCGTAAGAGTGAAGATTCTAATTAGTTCATGGATGTTGGCTGGATGGCTGGTTTGCGATGCCAACAGTGGGGGTTCAATTCCTGCACCAGCTGAGGTCACCATTAAAAATTCTCCTTCTCAAAGTTAAACTACTACCAGTCATCCCTTCTCTAATGAGAAAGCAGCCCTGTGGTCTGGTAGGATTGGCGACTTTACCTTTGTCTTCAATTGATTGCAGTCTAAGGTGCTTCACCAGCTCATATTCTGGAGAAGCCTGGAGCCACTGGCAGCACCTTGTGGATTTCTGCAATTAGCTGTACATATGCAGACTCCAGAGTTACTTTCAGTTTCAATTGAGTCATGACTGTGAACTCCTGACTGTTTCAGCACAAAATTATGGCCAATGTTATGGTAACCACAAAATCTGGGCCAGTATCATCTGAGGATTTAACTGTTGACCATGATGTGGAGGTGCTGGTGTTAGACCTGGGTGGACAAGGTAAAAAAATCACATGACACCAGGTTATAGTCCAACTGGTTTATTTGAAGACATAAGCTTTCAGATGTGCTTGATGAAGGAGCAAGATTCCGAAAGCTTGTGTCTTCAAATAAACCTGTTGGCCTATGACCTCGTGTCATGTGATTTTTGATCTTAACTGTTGACAGTGTTGTACATCCAATCACATCTACCATAGTGCAAGCTGTTGATTAATTGCAAATAATAAATGATAAAGAATGTACACCGATGATGTTAAATTTATAAAACATTGTGAACTGTGAAGAGGATGGTGCAGAGCTTCAAAAGAGTCTTGATGATTTAGTAGAATGGATGGGAAAGAGGAAGATGAAATTTAATACAAAGAAGTGTGAAGCGATTAATTTTGGTAGAAGATCACAGGGAAACAATATAAAATGTACAATTCTAAAAGCATGCAGGAGCAGATGGACCTGGCTCTGTATGTGCTCTACGGTCTGTTCCCCGGCATGCACACTGAGACGAATGTCAACGTGCCTGGAGGACCATCAAATCATTGAAAGACACCCTTTGATTTGCCTGAGCCTTGTTGGTCTTCCAGAACGAAGGGTTGGCTCTGACCGAGTGTTGCAGACTGGCAAATTCCAAGATCCAGGATTATGTGCTGAGGGACGCACTGAAGCTTGGGGCAGCTGCTGCCAAGGCGCAGTGGGGAAAGACCACTGTCTGAGGTCTTTCTGCTGAAATTAAATGGGCCTCTGTTCAGTTATTAGGCCCTCCTAGTGCATTATATATTTGTAAATAGTAGTATAGTGTAATAGAGGTAGAGTCGAAGTTCAATGTTTTGTTTTGTTGGCTTGGTATGCAACTGTGCAGAACCGAACTGCTCTTGCGTTAATGTACATATAAAAAGATTTTTTCAATGAAAATAAAGTATACTTTTGAAATAAAACAATGTATGTGCATATGTCATTTAAGGTGGCAGGACAGGTTGAGAGAGCATTTAAAGTAGAGAATCCGAAGTTTTATTAATGGGCCGTGGAGTACAAGAGCAAAGGGGTTATGTTAAATTTGTGTAAAACATTGATTTGTTCCCAACTGGAGCATTGTGTACAGTTCTCTGTATCACTCTTTAGGGAAGATGTGAAGACATCGGGGAGAGTGTAGAAACATCAGTGAGAATACTTCAAGGAAATGGAACTTTGGTTAGCTACATGGATATTTTAGACATTTTGGAGGGCAAGATTTTAAGAGGTGATTTGACAGGAGTATTCAAAATTATGAGGAATCTGGACAGAGTAGGAAAAATTTGTTTCAACTAGTGAAAAGATTGAGATTGAGATGGCAGAAATTCAAGCTAGTTGGCAAAAATGATACGAGAGGACAATTTTTCATGTAGGGAGTGGTTAAAATCTGGAAAATGGTTTATGAAATTGTGCTGAAGGCAAATTCAATTGAGGCATTCCAGATGAAATTGGATTATCATCTGAAATTAAAGCATGGACAAGGTTACGGCGAGAAGATGGGGTTATGGCACGAGGCAAGTTGCCCATTTGGAGAGCCAGCATGGAGACAAAGGACCAAATGGCTTCTTGTGCTATAACCATGGCTGTGTGGCTAATTTGAATATGGACATTATTGAGAGAGTTAATTTTGATGGAAAGTTGTGAATACAAATCCCACCTGTAGGCTGGTTTTATAAAACCATCAGCAGTTGTTATCTGTATAAATTACTTTATTTGGTATATATTGGTATATATTGTTTTAGACAACAAGCAAAACAATTGTATTAAAACCTGGAAAATGTTGTCAAAAATTAGAAAAGTTGACAGTGAGAAGAAAGATAAGTTAATTAAAATCAGATTCCAAAATACATATGTTAGATGGTATTCTTGGTATGTTTCCTATATACCGCAATAGCAAGTTAAAATGCAAGGTCATAGCTAGATGATGAGGTGCAGGATTGGGAAGAGGCTATTTGGAGAATAGCAATGGGAGAAGTATTCACCTCAATTTGTACTCCAGCATTGCCAGCTAGTGATGAAGCTTCATTGGCAGGAGGTGGGATATATGACTCAGCAGAAAGTCAAGAAAAATGGATTATGTAATCATCTTAGTACGAATCTTTTGAGAGTTTCCTTACATTTTCACTGAATGTAAACTGACAAGAAATGAAATGGAAAATATTGTAAAACATTTGTTCAAAATTCAGTGATTGCTTTTGGCAGTCTTGATGTCCCATGTTATACAGATTTGCTTGTCTTCAACATGTAACCAAGTTAGCATAGTTTGCTTTCTTTTAAGAAGAAGATTCAATTGTTAAAGATATGTCTGTGTTTGTTTTTGTAATTAGTAACAAGTCAATGTTTTGTTTCTCTTTAACATAAACATTTGAATATTTTATCCCTAGCTACCATCAGGAGCACTTATGAGACACACCAGTGCTCATGCCACATTTCTGGAATATCTTCTTTATTTTCAAAATAAAATTAGAAGTTGCCTTTATAACTTGAAAAGCCTAGGTAAATCAAGAGAAAATATATATTTTCAAACCTTAACTTGAAAAACATAATGAGATTAATGGTTGAATTGATTGAGGACAAAGTTGTTCAGAACACAAGGGAAATTCATGTGATCTATTTAAATGCTTTATGGTTAAATGGTGCATCAAATTGCAGAATGGGAAGAGCACAATTGTCAGCTTTAATAGTGGCTCTCAAGACAAATTAACAGTAAGAAAATGAAGGAAGTGCCTCCCTTTTGACATTGCCATGGGATCATTAGTGTCCATCTGAACCACTATAATTGTCAGAACTGTTTTGACTTCTTGTAAGGGTGTGAGGAGCCCGATTGACTTGCTAATAGCTCTAATGCAGTCCATTTTCGTTTCAACAAGAACTTTTCATTTAAAGAGTTTCTATTTACAGTTTGAGTTCTGCATGAGCCAAAATTGTCTCCTCCACGAGATCTCTTGCCAGACTCTCTCACGATGTGACTTTAGATCATCATTATTTAATGATCTCTTAAAGTTATGCTGTTAACTCCATTACGCCACAAGTACAAAT